AATGCTTGTTGAACACCCATCCACAGATTGCCCTCCACATGTGTAAAACACTGTGATAGATTGAAACAAACTAAATGACTTTTGTACGAAAGATGAAAAATATAAAAAAACCTATCAGAGGCTGCAGCAAAGTGCTAGATTTTTAGTTCTGTACAGTAGTATGGATCTTGATAGTCAGAAATGACCATGTGATCCTTGTGAGCGGACAGTGTTACAGAGTAAGCAAATTACCCCCATGGATCATAGAACTACTGCTTCAGGGAAACTCTTCTCTGAGCCTGAATCTGTGCTTCTGTTTACTTTGCTTTCATAGTCAAGTCACACCAGTAAGCTTCCTGCTAGACTTTCAGTTCTAGGAGCACTAAAAACCCATGAAGTCTCTGTTTTATATTCCCAGAGAAACAGAACGCCCATCAAAACCAAGCTGTAAATACTCTTGCTTACTAGTGTCATTCCGAGTGCTACCAAGCTGTTTGTGGTGGGGATGTCTAATACGAGCATTGTTTTTTTCTCTAGTGGTCTAGGATGCAAACTGACAAAGATTAGTATTTATAGTACTGTGAATGTCAGACAGAGGCTATTAGTAAGCAATACTTTGTAGGCAAACATATTTCTTTTATTATACTGATACCTCCCCCCAAAAGGGATGATTTTGGGCATACAACTTCTTTGTTAGATTTGAATCCCTCTCATCCTTAACATTTCTTCAGATCACTGCCATCGATTTTCTAGGAAGCAGCCAGGTTTGAGATACACCCATCTTGGATTTAAAGTTAGTGAAAATTAATCACTGAGAACAAGGACTCTCAAAAACTCCTGAATGGTACTGATGTCATCTTTGCTTCTAAATGCTATAAACGCAGTATAGCTACTGCAGAATTATTTATGCATAATGAAAATAGCCACTATTATTAAGCTCTGGCACAGCTACCACATGCAGCAGTAGTGATTGGTGGGACAATTATAATATAAGCATTTTGTTAACAATATTAGGGATAAATGCATACTAAGGTATTTGGGTGGCATGATACAGAAAATCTTATCTTTCTTAATTTTTTAAGATTATTTCTCTCATAGGTAATAATATTGTCTCAGACTTGAGAAGCAAAAGGTCATGTTACTGCTTCGTTTTGGCATTCTGTTCAGCAAGACAGCACAGGAGGAAGGAGAGCATGGGAGGAGTCACAGCCAGCCTGCGATTCTGGGATACTTCTGGTCTGATTATGATTGTTTCACAGATTTTCGATGTGGCCTTTAGCAGGGCACTCTGTTCCTGTGTATATCAATTCTTTGCATCTCAACTAGAGATAATCATGCTTATTTTGCAAGGGTATTTCCTGGAGAAATTTATTACTGCCTGTGAGACGCCTTAGGAATACAGTGAGGGAGCCATATAGGTGTCTAGATTGATAAATAAATGCAAATTATACAACCTACAGATGAGGTGACCTAGGTGCTCACAACATATGTCTCATTGTAATAATTTTTTTTTAAGTCCCAGCATGCTTAAGTGTTGGTGGTGAGCTGTAAGGTACAGAGCATGTTGTGTGCATTTCTAGTATTATTCTGAGGATCAAGTATTTTTCTTTCTGTGATTCTAGGGATTTATGCCATAGGATGTTATAATAAAGGATTTGGACAACAGTCACAATTTTCATGTAGGGATTATTACTGTAGACTCAAACTGCATATTTATCCTGGGGGGCATGGGGAGGAAGTGAAAGGAGGTGAGACTTTCTCTGTTTTATTGGCTCTTGGACAATAAATATAGTTGCATAATGGAGAATCCAATTCACTCGATTTCTGAACTACTTTAAATATGTATAGGGTTATAATGGCCTACACTTGTCTGAGGTTAATAGACCACTCCAAACACTATTTAAAAATGAGCGAAATAGAGCCAGTCCAGAAATTGTCCTGAAATCCTCTGAAAGTAAGTGAAGCCTGTACATAACTAATGCACCATAAAGCAGAACTGGTGAACTGAATTCTGTTCCAGTAGTTGTAGAAATTTATTAGAAGACCCACTGCTTATTTTCAGGGTATTTTACTACTTACTGCCAACTTCTTAGAAAAATATGAGGAACAAATAATGCTGAAAGGAAATTCAAAAGCATCTTACGTAGTGGTAAAGCTGTGGCATACCTCAGACCTTACGCAGCTGTTTCAAAGAAAATAGATGTCTTTGGTGAACTACTTGACCACCAGATATATGCCCTATTTCTTCTGCAAAGTGCTGAGATTCCACTGATTTGTAAAAGATGTACTGAGTGTTTAATACCTAAATTACTTTCATTGTCCTGTGCCATGCAAGAAACAAATTGTACTGTTCTAAATTTAGTTATGAATGAATTCACTCTGTTTAGCTTCCGTGCTTTGAAACAGCTTTCTGTTTATTCTGTGGAATAGTATACAAGTGCATAACTGATGCGCTAAAATTAGAGTTCATTTGATGGAGAAAGCCCTCTGAATTACAAGCAAAAGATGACTAATAAGTCATCCTGTGGACTGTTTCAAAATGTCATACCTCCTATATTTGTCATCTCAAACTTTGTTCATGTGATATCTTGCTTACTGCCTGGGAAGGAAGGGAAAGTCTTGTGTCATGTTTAGATGTGCTTGGTTTCCTTTGGAAGTACCAGTACCACAACTCTGCACAAAATCTGCTTCTTACTGGCAGCTTTCCAAGTATTGCTGCTTTTGACAGCTTCTTTTTGTGCTGTGTATGAAGTGAGAGGCACTTCTTGATGAGTCTTGGGAAATGTAATCTGCAGTTGTTTCACAAACTGGTGTGTAATAAGATACAGACTTTTCCGTGTTTAACACTCATATGAAATTATGTTTCAGTTCAATATGAAGAAAAAAATCTGCAGTTTAATTTTAAAAGTTGAAAGGAATTGCACCAGGCTTTAAAATTAGATCCCTTGTTAATATTGAAGATTATTGGAAGTACGTCAAAGCATTTGAGGAATTTCTGGAGAAAATTTTACTGTTGTGAGGAAAGCTTGTGTTCCATATATGATGAAAGCTTACAGCAAAGACCTGTTAGTTACATAGCTGAGACTCTTAAATGCAACCTTAATTATGCAAGCTTTTATCAGTTATATATAGAAGACAGCCCATGGATAGAGCAGTCTAATATGTCTTGTGACAGCTATGACTATATTAAATTGCATACTCTGGTGGCATTCTGCCAGCCAAGTGGGACTGTAAGCTGGAAATACTAGGATTATTTTAAAATGCTAAATCTGTCTCATTGCTACTTTATTTCTCTAGGTATGGAGCTTGAAGTATTGAAGGTTGTAGAAAGCAGGCATTGCATCCCAGATCAGCAGTTGCAATATTGCTGTTATGCTGTAAATTGTGACATTCTTATGGTATGCTTTACATGCTTGTTAAAGACACTGCTGCAGTGAGCCTACTCAGTGATCCTAAACAGCTGAGGATACCTGTTTCCTATGAAAATTTTGGAAAGCATCTTTTTCAGAGAAAATGCTTTTCATCAGCTGATTATGTATTTTCAGTATCTATGCGGTTTGTTCCCTCTGAGTGTGTGAACCATATCCATGAAAATACATTTATTGCTTTGCTATTCCATCTGCTTTTGCTTCTAGGACATCATCTGATATCCCAGTCCTTTCCATGGGATGTCACTATTTCTAGAAGCAGTGAAGTTTGGGAACTGTGCCATAAAATGAGTTGGCTCATGTCCCCCAAATAAAGTGAGATTTCAGTATGATCTTCGCATTTGATGTGCAGCCTCTTTCTGTAGTACTGAATTTTATTTCGGGTTTGAATTGTGTTGGAAGAGGTCAAGAATAATTTTGGTGGGGCTTGGAAATACTTACTGAGTTCTTGATTCTGCTGCATTATGGGACACATTGTAGTCTCTTTTTGTCTCGCTTCCATTTCTGCAAAACGGAAAAACCTTTGTTTTCCTTAATTTTGTTTTGCCTATCTAGTTGTGGAGTGTCTAGCATACAGCCCATGGGTAAGATCTTGCCCAGAGAGCCATTCTGCCAGGCCTTCTAGCTTCCCAGCTCTATTCTATGTACGGAAGCACAGAGCAGGATCCAAAGTGTGCCAGTCAATAATAGAATCATAGAATCATAGAATAGTTAGGGTTGGAAAGGACCTTGAGATCATCAAGTTCCAACCCCCCTGCCATGGGCAGGGACACCTCACACTAAACCATCTCACCCAAAATAATGATGATAAATAGAAGCAATAATGATTGCTTTCTTTTCAGAGATGTAATGCCCATTTTGTACTTCTGTGTTAGTACAAAAGAGAGAAAGTAAGGAGAAAGTTTATTGGTAATTCTAATAGAGTTAACATATCTAGAAATAAGTTATTGACACTTTTGATAGGTATGGGAGGAAGGGGAGGTCAATTCCTTATGGAAAATTAGTAATCTTTTTGAGAGGAACGTGCATCTTTCTGTGTATGCTGTTGACCCAGAGATTTCTTGCTGTTTAATTATCAGCTAAACCATTGCCTCAGCAAAACTTCTGAACTAGGAGTAAGAAGTGACAAATAGTAAACACACTTAAAAAGGGCAAGTTGTGCATGGAGATCAAAAAACACATGAAAGTGAGATAATAATTGTGTGAACACATGGTCCATGAATGCAGATGTTTTGAATGGAACATGGCTTCATTTCTTCCTGCTGTACTTGAGGCAGCTGTGGGGAATGAATCAGCTGTGGGGAATGAATCAGCTGAAAGGATTCCTGCTTTTTACTTGTAATTTGTATTATTTTTTTTAAAAAGTGGAAGGAGTCTAAGTACAAAACTTGTCAAGAAGTTTTTGGTTTACTCTGTTTGGAAACTGCCGTTCTTTGATGTTCTTGGGCACATTCATCTGTCGCCAGTGAGCAGGGGCTTAAAAGATCCATCTGTTCCTCAGGTGTGTCTTTTGCCATTGTTGACACCATCTGCATATTTAAAAGTCCATCCTTTACTCTCCATTTCTTCTGTTTCTGCTCTCCTCTTTTTTGATTTTGTTCAACTAGCATGAGACCTGAAGCACTGCAGAGGATGAGAAAGGAATTACTGAGGTTTAGCATTTAATTTCATGAAGAATGGAGGATCAGCTAACTGAGTGCACCAGATTTGCAACATACAGATTAGGTTAGTTAACATTAGGATAGTTAATCAGGGTAATTTCATTGTGTGAAATTGCATTGTGATATAATTGAAAAAACAGATTTTGTGCACCTTCTTGGGGGAGCAGACTGCCCAGAAATCTGTACAGTGTTATATTTTCCCTCTTCATCGTTACTTATTATAAAAGCTAGTTTTATATCTCTTTTTTTACTTTTGTCTATTTTTGAAAAATAGTCATTACTTAGTAAGTTACATGTTGGAAGAGTTAATTGTAACCTGCCAATATATCCATCGAGTTTTAATAAAGCTTACTGCCTAAAAACCTACAAGATGAGCATAACTGTCCTGTGTAACTCAGGACAGTGCCTTTGGAAATAAATGTTCAAATAAATTGCATTATATTCATTCTTTACTGGTTAGGACAGAGAACTGAGAAGTGAGTTACAAGAACCCTGTTTCAGGGAGTGCTGTTGACTTGCTGTGACATTTTATCTGGACTGAACGCTCTGTTCTGATTTTTTTGTGGGAAGGTGCAGTGGTACCCATGTTATGGAGGTACTGAGACTTAGTTGTTTAAACACGCTGCAGGACTGTAAAAGTTTAAATTACCGAAACGATTTCTGTTTGTATTCCTGGTGTGGGAATTTGAAATTAAAAGCCTTAGCAATATTAAATGGTTAATAGTTGAGAAGATGAAGCAAGTACATTATATCTAGAGTCATTCTGGCTTCTTCCCAGGCTGGGATCCTCCCTGTATTTGTTGTTATCATTGTGTCTGTTAGTCATTTAGTTTTATAACATGCAACCTTACTAAAAAGGAGGGGTTTGTTGGTTTTGTTATGTTGGTTTTGGTTTGTTTTTTTTTTTTTGGTGGGGAAAAGAAAGGATCTTGGACAAAAGCATGTGAACTTTATAGGTGTATTTATTTCTGGAATTCAGAAATATTGACTGTATTTCACTTTATCATTAAATTGGGTACTGGTCTATTGATTATTGCTGTTAATCTGTTCCTTTCTTTTCAGAGTCTGTCTCCAATATTTTGCTGTTTTCTGTTTGTCAGACCTGTAAATGCCGAGTCTGAATAATCTTTCACTGACTGCATAATCAATGTAAAATAATCAGTTGTAAAATGATGAGCATACCCATGTTAATTAAAGGCAAGCTAATGGACTGATAATAAATTACTTAAATGGTAGTGTTTCTGATTTGGATAAGAAAAATGTGACATAATTTACACTCAGACTTGTGTTATTCAGCATGCAAGATAATTTGTATATTGCAAGTCAAGTGATCTATTTGGAATAGCAGTTTTGACACCTTTCATACCATACATTACTTCTAGCTTAAATAGTTTATAGACTAGCTTTGCTGTCTAGAAGAATCATCCATGAAAAAGGTTTTATAGAATCATAGAATCGTTAGGGTTGGAAAGGACCTTAAGATCATCTAGTTCCAACCCCCCTGCCGTGGGCAGGGACACCTTATGCTAAACCATATCACCCAAGGCTTCGTCCAACCTGGTCTTGAACACCACAAGGGATGGAGCATTCACAACCTCCCTGGGCAACCTATTCCAGTGCCTCACCACCCTAACAGGAAAGAATTTCCTTCTTATATCCAATCTAAACTTCCCCTGTTTAAGTTTTAACCCATTACCCCTTGTCCTGTCACTACAGTCTCTAATGAAGAGTCCCTCCCCAGCATCATTGTAGGCCCCCTTCAGATACTGGAAGGCTGCTATGAGGTCTCCATGCAGCCTTCTCTTCTCCAGGCTGAACAGCCCCAACTTTCTCAGTGGGTCTTCATATGGGAGGTGCTCCAGTCCCCTGATCGTCCTCGTGGCCCTCCTCTGGACTTGTTCCAACAGTTCCACGTCCTTTTTATGTTGAGGACACCAGAACTGCACACAATACTCCAGGTGGGGTCTCACAAGAGCAGAGTAGAGGGGCATGATCACCTCCTTCGACCTGCTGGTCACGCTCCTTTTGGTGCAGCCCAGGATACGGTTGGCTTTCTGGGCTGCAAGCGCACACTGCTGGCTCATGTTCATTTTCTCATCGACCAACACCCCCAAGTCCTTCTCCACAGGGCTGCTTTGAATCTCTTCTCTGCCCAACCTGTAGCTGTGCCTGGGATTGCTCCCACCCAGGTGTAGGACCTTGAACTTGGCATGGTTAAACTTCATGAGGTTGGCATCAGCCCACCTCACAAGCGTGTCAAGGTCCCTCTGGATGGCATTCCTTCCCTCCAGCGTATCAACTGAACCACACAGCTTGGTGTCATCAGCAAACTTGCTGAGGGCACACTCAATCCCACTGTCCATGTCAGCGATGAAGATGTTGAACAAGACCGGTCCCAACACCAATCCCTGAGGGACGACACTCGTTACTGGTCTCCAGCTGGACATTGAGCCATTGACCACAACTCTTTGTGTGCAGCCATCCAGCCAGTTCTTTATCCACCAAGTGGTCCATCCATCAAATTGATGTCTCTCCAATTTAGAGACAAGGATGTCATGTGGGACAGTGTCAAACGCTTTGCACAAGTCCAGGTAGATGTCATCAACTGCTCTACCCCTGTCCATCAGTTCTGTAGCCCCATCATAGAAGGCCACCAAATTGGTCAGGCAGGATTTCCCCTTAGTGAAGCCATGCTGGCTGTCACCAAGCACCTTGTTGTTTTCCATGTGCCTTAGCATGCGTTCCAGGAGAATCTGCTCCCAGATTTTGCCAGGCCCAGAGGTGAGACTGACTGGTCTGTAATTCCCCGGGTCATCCATTTTCCTCTTCTTGAAAATGGGGGCTATATTTCCCTTTTTCCAGTCATCAGGAACTTCACCTGACTGCCATGATGGTCTTGAACCAGATCCTCTCCTACAGTGGGCGCAAGGTCTTCATTCTCACAGTCCTGCATCTGCCTTCCAAGACTTGGGTGATGTGGTCAGAGCCTTTGCCAGTGAAGACCGCGGCAAAGAAGTCATTCAGAACCTCAGCCTTCTCCAAATCCAGGGTAGCCAGTTCTCCTGAGAGCTTCTGGAGAGGGCCCACATTATCTTTTATTTGCAGTGTGCCTATAGAATCCCTTCCTGTTATCTGTAAGTTTTCCATCAGCTCCTCTTCTATCCCCTCACAGAGCTCCGCGCATTCCAGCTGCTCTCTCGCACAAAGAACAACTCTCCTTTCTTGTCTTCTTTTCCTGTCCTTCCTGTTTTAATCCTATACCTCACTAACTTGTAAAATGTGAAGTTAAACTCTGTGTTATGAAACACTGTAAAGGCATATGAGACTTAGGCCTGAGCTCAATTGCTTATGAAGTTCCAAGTCCTTTCAGTGCTTTTCTGTATTTGGAGACTTCCAACTGTTCAGATCATTACATGCTCCAAGTGCACTCAGGAAACATCTTGCTGCCTGGACCTGAGGCATAGTAGCCTGGGAGCGTGATCAGCATACCTGTTAGTAGCCTTGTGGAAATGCAGTGCATCTTTCACTACATCTCTTTCAGATGTATTATTGTTTCTGCTTATCAGGGGTAACTTCAAAAGGAGAAATGTGGCACAACTGATAGGTACAAATGGGAAAAGAAGCAAACTTAGGACTCCAGTGAGTGCACTACAGAATTCTTCTTGTCATGATTTTGGAACAGATGGTTTTTGTCATGCAAGGACATACCTGTATAAGGAGTAGAGCTAAGGCAACTGTTCATGCAGAAGTCAGTGATCCCAAGGTAACAGTATAGAAATATAGTCTGGTGTCACCATTCCTGTCTATGAAATTCTGCAAAGGTGTGATTGCTGTGGGTAGATTGCTTCCATTGGCACCTCCCTGTGCCTTTCATGTTCTTCTGGATGCATGAAAGCACAGATCTTCCCTTCTTATTTCTCAAGCACTCACAACATAGCTAGTTATGATGCTACCGATCAGTGATCTTCACATGTGTGGGTGCTAGGAAGCAGCATCATACATTGCACTTAGTATGCTATTTCTTTGTTTCCAAAGGAGAGTTATTTCATTGGTTTGATTTAGAATAGAATAGTTCTAGTTGGAAGGAACCTACAATGATCAACTAGTCCAACTGCTTAACTACTTAAGGGCTGACCAAAAGTTAAAGCAAAATATTAAGGGCATAGTCCAAATGCTTCTTAGACACGGACAGGCATGGGGCACTGACTGTCTCTTTAGGAAGCCTGTTCAAGTGTCTGACAACCTTCTTAATGAAGAAATGCTTCCTAATGTCAAGCCTGAACCTCCCCTGACACAGATTTGAACCATTCCCATGCATCCTGTCACTGGGTACCATAGAGATGAGACCAGCACCTTCTTCTCCACTTCTCCTCAAGAAGTTGTAGGGAACGATGAGGTTTCCTCTCAGCCTCCTTTTCCTCATACTAGACAAACACAGAGTCCTTAGCCGCTCCACACAGGACATGCCTTTCAGCCCTTCCACTGGTTTTCGTGCCTTCCACTGGACATATTCAAGGACCTTCAGATCTTTCTTAAGTCATGGGGCCCAGAACTGCATACTCTTTAGTGAAGCCATACCAATGCTAAATATGGTAGAATGAACACCTCTTTTGACTGGCTGGTTATGCTGTGTTTGATGCACTCCAGGATGTGGTTTTGCCCTCTTGGCTGCCAGGGGACACTGCTGCCTCGCATTGATTGAGCCTGTTTTCGGCCCAGCACCCACAGGTCCCTCTGGAGGGCTGCTTGCAAGCCTCTCCTCTCCCAACTTCTATCTCACGTTACTCCATCCGAGATGCAGAATTCAGCATTTTTTGTTATTAAATTGATGATTGCCTAATTCTCCAATCTAACTGTTCCCTCTGCAAGGCCTCTCATCCCTCAGGAGAGTCAACAGCAGCTCCCAATTTGATTTCATCAGCAAACTTGCTAATGATTCATTCAACTGCACCCTCATTCTTGATAAACATTGAACAGAACTGGCCCTAGAATTGACCCCTGAGGAACACTGCTGGTGACCAGTTGCCAGGCAGATGGAGCCCCATTTTCTGCAACCCTCTGAGCTATGCCCTTCAGCTGGACAGTTTGTCTTGAAGAATGCTGTAAGAGGCAGTATCAAAAGCCTTAGTAAAATACCTAAAGACTACATCTACTGCTTTCCTTTCACCCACTAGCTGTGTGACTTCATCATAGCTGGATATCAAATTAGTTAGACAGAACTTGCCCTCTGTGAACCCATGTTGACTGTGCCTGCTGATTGCATTGCCCTTTAAATGCCTTTCAGTAGCACCTGGTATGATCTGCATAATTACTCCAGGTTAAGAGATTAGACTAGCAGATCTGTAGTTTCCTCATGCCCTTCTTGTAGATTGGAATAACGTTGGCTACCTTCCAGTCAGCACGGACCTCCCCAGACGTTTGGTAGATGATCAACACTGGTTCTGCTGTAACATCTACTAGCTCCTTCAGTACTCTGGGCCGAATCCCATCAGGCCCCATAGATTTATGTACATTCAGCTAAAATGTCTGGTGGGATGGAGGTGAGGCTGACTGGACAGTAGTTTCCCAGATCCTCTTTCTTACCCTTTTTGCAGATTGGAGTGACATTGGCCTTCCTCCGATCACTGGGCATATCACCTGCTCTCCACACTTTGTTAGAGACTCCTGAGGGCCTGTCCTAGTGGTAAAGACTGACATAAAGGAGATGTAGTGAGGGGGTTTTGTGACTAATTTTATTTTGAAATCTAATTTGTTATAACAGGAGCCAAATGCATTTAAAAATGTAATTAATTATAGCAAACATACTTTCTTAGAATAAAAAGAAATCTTGTAGAGGTCTATAACTCACTGAGTGTAATGGACCAAGATACAGTTTATTCTGACTGATCTTCCTCCCACATACATAACTGAATACACTAGTGCTTTATATTCAGCACAAATATGGTTGTCTTCTCTATAAATACTATTTTTTGGTGTATTTTTGAGACAATAGGCTGAAGCTTTTCAGAAGGTAGGCATTGAAATAGTTAATTGTTGTTTTGTTCCAATTTTCCTCTATTCTTTCTGATTCTTAAATACGAAAGCAGTAGATACAGTATGGTTGTCTGTAGTTTCTGCTGCTTGCCTTGCAAGTGGATTCCATCCAGCTGGTTGTAGTTTATGCATTGGATGCAAGGCGGAATTAATGAATGCCTGAATGCCTCCTTTACGTCAGTCTTTACCGCTAGGATAGGCCCTCAGGAGTCCCTGGCCTCAGAGGTTAGAGATGAAGGCTGGAGAAAGGAGCACTTCCCCCTGATTGTAGAGAGTTCAGTTAGGGATAGACTTAACACCCATAAATCTGTGGGTCCAAATGGGATGCACCCAAGGGTACTGAGGAAGCTGGCAGATGTTGTTCTGCCACTCTCCATCATCTCTAAAAAAGCATGGAGAGCAGGTGATGTGCCCAGTGATTGGAGGAAGGCCAATGTCACTCCAATCTGCAAAAAGGGTGAGAAAGAGGATCTGGGAAACTACTGTCCTGTCAGCCTCACCTCCATCCCTGGAAAGATGGTGGAACTGGTCATTCTGGAGGTCATCCCCAAGCACGTAGAAAAAAAGAAGGTCACTGGGAGTAGTCAGCATGAATTCACCAAGGGTAAATCTTGCTTTACCAATCTAATAGCCTTTTATGGTGACATGGCAAGATGCGTTGACAAGGGGGAGGAGTGTACATTATCTACCTTGACTTCAGCAAGTCTTTTGACACTGTCTCCCATAACATTCTCATAGGTAAGCTTAGGAAATGTGGGTCAGATAAATGGACAGTAAGGTGGATTGAGAACTGGCTGAATGGCAGAGTTCAGAGGGTTGTGATCAGAGGAGTAGAATCCAATTGGTGGTCTGTAGTCAGTGGTGTTCCCCAGGGGTCAGTACTGGGATCGGTCTTACTCAACTTACTTATCAAAAACCTGAACAAAGGGATAGAATGTACCCTCAGCAAGTTAGCAGATCATATGAAGCTGGGGGGAGTGGCTGATACACCTGAAGGCTGTGCTGCCATTCAGCTGGACCTTGATAAGCTGGAGAATTGGGTGGAAAGAAACCTAATGGGGCTGAACAAGGGCAAGTGTAGGGTACTGCACATGGTAAGGAAGAACCCCAAGTACCAGTACAGGTTGGGGGCGAACATACTAGAGAGTAGTTCATCTGAGAAAAACTTGGAAGTATTGGTGGATGTCATGTTGACTATGAGCTGGCAGTGTGCCCTTGCAGCGAGGAAGTCCAATAGTATCATGGGGTGCATTGGGAAGAGTGTGGCCAGCAGGTCAAGGGAGGTGATCCACCCCCTCTACTCAGCCCTGGTGAGGCCACACCTGGTATGTTGTGTCCAGTGCTGGGCTCCTCAGTACATGAAAAACAAGATTCTACTGGAGAAGGAGCTCCAGTGGAGGGCTACAAGGATGATCAAAGGTCTGGAGCACCTCTCTTATGAGGACAGATAGTGGGAGGTGGGCCTGTTTATTCTAGAGAAGTGAAGACTGAGAGGGGGGTCTCAATGCATATCAAGTATCTCAAAGGTGAGCGCCAGGAGGATGGTGTCAAGCACAAGAAGTTTCACCTCAACACGAGGAAGAACTCCTTTACGTTGAGGGTGGTGGAACACTGAAACAGGCTGCCCAGGGGTGTTGGGGAGTCTCCCTCTCTGGAGACATTCAGAACCCATCTGGAGACCTTCCTGTTTAACCTGCATTAGGTGGCCCTGCCTTGGCAGGGGGGTTGGACTGGATTATCTCCAGAGGTCCCTTCCAACCATAACAATTCTGTGATTTTTAATCATGTTTATGAACTGTAAATGTGTTCTTTGCAGGTTAGAATTACAAACCTGAGGAAATAATTAGCTATAATAGGTTCCATATGAACTTCTTACTCCTTTTTAATAGCTCTCACTAGAATGTTATCTTGGGCTTTTTTCAACTTCATTTTGTCCAGCTTTTGGTGCCACAGAATGGTGATAGAAAAGACCGAGGAGAGAGAAGCATATCAAGTGTATTTATATAGCATCATAAAAAAAAAAACCAAACACCTGTGTTTTTAGTATTTGTGGCATATACTTTTTAAGCGAGTCATTATAGTATACAGCAGCTTTCTAGGTGTTTTGCTCCCTTTTGTCCTACTGCTATGGGAAGTTCTCATTTTACGTCATCTGTGTATAAAAGGTTATTCAGAGAGGTAAGGTTTCAGACTATGTCTTTGTGGGCATGGTGGGTTTTTGCTAGTTAATGTATCATTTCCAATGAAAGCTCAATATAACAAAGCAACCTAAAAACTGCCTCTACAGAAGTGGCTTCTACTGTGTATTTGCATATTGAAAATATAGAGGTTGTCAGTAGATGTTTGGCAAGAGAACCTAACATTAAATATAGCCAAGGAAATTAGATAAGACTTTCCATTCCACAAATTTGTGTCATTATAGTTACACAATAAGCTTCTCATAGCACAAATAATTTATGTAGGAATTCTGCATTCAGCTCTAGTTGATTTCCAGCAAACCTGAAGTAATTAAAAAAGGTACTCTGAATAGGTGCAGCTGCATTGGGTATGTTACTCCTTTTCAGTAGCCTTGTCAGATGCTTATTGCAAAAGTGGGTACCGTAAAAACAATTAGTATTATATAAGTGAAGCTTGCTTTCTGTATTAATAGTTAGCTTTTTATGGCTAAATGAAAGTGATGGGGTAGAAACAAATCCATCTTGTGTGTCTAAAAAAAGGCTTATATTTTAGTCACCCACTTTAAGATACTTCTAAAATGGTATTATTTATGAATTTGTGGTGTCGAATTAAACATTTTAAATTCTTCCTCTAGTAATTACAGGAAATATCACATTTCCCTGCCTTACAGTGGCTATTTCTTGACTTTGCCATTGCAGGATGTTTCAATTTTAGTATCTCAAAACGTTTCCATCAAAGACAACATGAAAAATTATCTAGTTCCTTCCAGAATAAGCACAGGATTCTGATTAGAGGAAAGACAATGGAGGGGTGAGGATGAAAAGGTTGGCAGGGGTAACAGTATAGCTCAGGTCTGATTAGTCTGCTTTTTAAAACTTCCATTACTGGTCTGGCCTGTAGAGAACATAAAGCATAAGAGAAAATACCCTTCTATGGTATGTCACGCTTCAGAATTAAATAGTTTTCATGGTTTAGTATGCGTGCAGAACTTGCTTCAGGTCTGGTAGTCCAAGTTAGTTTAATTTCAGCCTTGCTAAACACTGGCAATATGTTCTGGTTATTCTATCGGTGCAGCTGTTATGACATGTTTGCCTACATGCAGCTAAAGAGCAGTCACCGTAACTATGGCAAGAGCACGGATGTATTCAGTAAGGTAATCCAGGTCTATGATGAGGGACACCGGAGGGATGATGTTGCCACAGCCTCCTTTTCTGTCCAGTGCAGAGCTGTTAGCTCCCTAATGGCAATTCCTTACCCTCTCCTTGACCTGGCATGTGGTATCTCTTCTGCCCTTTCTGAGAACTGTTGATCACTCATGTTTCCATGTATTAGCTAGTTACTAGTGAAAGGCAGTTTCGTTCTCCTTTGTGCAAACCAGTCACATAATGTGTGTTGAGGGGACAGAGGAGTAAGGCAACATGCTTGTAGTATAGTATTGAAGAAGGGAAATGGAAGAAGTTGACTGCCGCAGAGCAGTAAGAAAAAACGAATAATGGGATAGTAGGGGGACTGCAGGGGATGGATGGTTTAAAAGAAAAGAGGAGGGAAAATATGAGTAAGAAGAGAAGGGGGTTGGGAAGAGTCTGAGAACATGGAAGGAGAAAAATAGGGGTCAACATCTTTCTTTTTCCATTATTTCCTGGAGGTTGCTTCTCCAGGAGATAATTCAGATAGGCTGGCATGCCTTGAGGTTACATCTTCTAACTGGAAACATCAAACACACATCATTCTTTTTTCCCCTCATAAAGTTTAACAAGAAAACTATGCGCTATAGCTGCATCCAGCATCCTCACTGTTGGATTCATTGGCTTAATGGTTTAAACACACTATTTTCATTTCATCCTCCAGTTGTCTTTCATTTCTCTTTTGAAAAGCTGGGAAAGGAGGTGTGATTGCCGGGTTGTGACTGAGGTTAGCTTCACAACTCTTGCATGTCTCAGCTTTCCCCCAAGCCCAAGACTCCTTCACCATTTTCTCAGCTGGTTCTCCCCTTTCAGGCACTGAGCTCTGGAATGTCTAAAAGATGTAAGTTTTAGAATGATCTGTTTCCCTGTACCTGCATCCTTGTGCTGTCATCTGTAGTTAACCATTTTGTTCACAACTTGGTATGCTTACTGCCATGAAGCAGCCAGACTTAGTTGTTCTTTTCTTATGTTAAGCCCTTGCAGCCTGAGAGAAGAGCTTTGTCTATTCTCAGTCTTTCCTTTAGCTTCTCTTTCTCTCCTTTCTTCTCCAATTTTTAACTCTCTGCACGATGCTGTTTCCTTTTACAGTCCTATCAGCCAGAGTTCGCTGGCAGGGTTTGGTACAAATTATATGGTATTTTGGTATAATTGCTGAACACTTATTTGTACTTGCTGTGCCAATGCTGTTGATGTATATATATAAGAAAACAGCATTTCTGCCTTAGTCCAAGTCAGATGCACAGGTAGACAGTACACCTTAAATTTACTTCTCTTTCAAAGTAGCACATAAATGTATTGTTTATCAAATTGTTGATACCACTCTCTTATTCAAAAGAAATGGAAAAAAAAGACTAGGTAGAAAATCAAATGTAAAACTCACTTTTTTTTTTTTTTTTTTAAGAAAGGAAAGTTGTTTGCATGAGAAAAAGGGCATTGTGTACTGACGGTATGTGTTCATATGCCTAGTGTGATTCTAAGTGCAGAATTATATAAATCCTGGCTTATGCACAAACTGTATTCTGTATTGCAGCCAGACTCTAAACATGAACATGAGAACACTGAAGGAGGGGAGAGCTGTAGTTGTCTGGCTTTATGTACCTTCTTGGCTAGGGTCTCCTGTAATTCCAATTACCTGTAGGAATGATTCTCCATTTCTTGCTGATAACCCATGTGTGTAATCTAATGGTTGGATGTGTACATAAAAAGCCGAGACGAGCATTAATAATGCATAGTAATTTAACTGGGAAAGCTCTCTTTATTGAAGCATGTCCTTTTTACTTACTTTATGGAAGAAAAAAGGATTCGCGTGCTTTCTTAGTGTCATTGCTGCTCATTGTGAATAAACTCTGTGTAATTTAAACCCTATACTTAAGCACTTCTAAAGCATCTGTGCTGAAAGGCAGCTGTTTGGTAGTGCAAAAAGAAATAAATCGGACTGAATTTATACAAAGTGGCCTATACAACTGTTAAAAATGTGTAACTGCAGTCACTGGTATATACACTTTCACTGCTCGGGAGTGAACAATGAGAGCCCTGGCAAAATACGGAGTGGGGTTTGTGGTTGTTGGGCAGCATTATAACCCTGGAAAGACAGGAAACTTCAGGTGAAGGAGTGCTTCAGCTGAGTATTTTCCACTGAGAGTGTTAAATGGGCAGCCAGGTGGCCTCGTTCCAACAGCAGAGATAGATGAGAAGCTGAAATGTCAGAGTCAGCTGGTGACTTTTCATATGTGACAGTGCAGTCACAAATCCATTAAAACATCAGCACTAACTTCAAGACCGTCAGAACTGGGCTTTGGGAAGTGAAAGACAATCCTGTGACAGAGTTGAAAGGAATGGCTTGTGCGGGCTGTTTCTGATTGAAAGCTGCTTTTTTCTCTTGTCCCCCTCCCTTTTTTGAATTAACAGTGCCTACCATGCTGAGATAAGGGTGAGACCTCTGGGGGCTAAGGATATAGGAGACAGTCTGGTACAGAGTCCTCTGCCATTGTGTCTTTCTCCCTCTTTCACCTCCCTGGTGATGAGAGCAAACTGTGGGATTAGCAAAGAGGTTGGCTGCTTGGCAGGGAACATGTTGGGTGAGCACTTGAACTCTGGCTAAAAGGTAACTGTGTGGTGTGAAGCATGGATTATACAAGGAAGTTATAGTATGACCAAAAGACCGCACACTCCCAATCCTTCTAGTACTTCAGGGTTTTGTACATCCTGGGTTCTTAGCTTAGGGTTTGTTTCATTGTTGGCTTTCTTTGTCTGTCATCTATGAAAAAATACCACTATCATTCTAAGAAAAAAAACGGGAATGTCTCAAAATGTGTCCAGGACTCAAGCTCAGCTATTAACTCATGATCCTTGGTTCCTCATCCCGTTTTGCAGAATGACAGAATTGCTTCACCCTCAGGTCACTGAGGTCATCATAGCTCAACAGGTTTCCATCACTCATTGTCTGCTGCTACTTTGATAGAAATTGCTGTTATTTCCATTTTTTATTTTTTTTTTCACCTCTGTAGGACAAAATACATCTTAACTGTAAACCCTCTGCAGCAGCCTGGTCAAACTGGATTCCTAATTCTGTTTCTATTGACTAATGGGTAAATGAGGTCTTCCTTTTTTTTCAGTAAGCCTTCCACTTTCTGGGTAGGCCTCTCAGCTGTGCGTATTTCATCTCTCCAAATTTGTTGTGTTATTGTAACTTCACATTCACTGGCATTACTCATCATAAGCATAGAGTTAGCTTAATTTAAACAAAGATAGACTTGCTTAATGAAAAAGAAATTAAAAAAGTAACTTCTTAATGCAGGTATCAATTTACAGTCAGACCAATGAGATCTGTCCATGTAAGAACATCTGCCAAGCTGATTAACCCATTCTGGTTTTCTGCATTAGAAAGGAATAATCCCTGTGACTAGTTTCCCATTTGTCTTTACTGTAGTTCACTTTAATTAATTTCTCTCTTCTCCTTTAATCTGTCAATTTGATTGCTAGATTGAATGTTAAGCCTAAGATCCCTGGCAGTATCCCAATTCTAAGGCTACATTTTTATGAGATGGGTGCAATTTTTATAGTAAATAATGAGGAAAAAAAACCCACCTCTCTTTTCTGGGGGTTGAAATCTGCTCTGAGATTGGGTTGTACACTGCTCCTGCCAGAGGGCTCTCTCTTACTCTTCCTGTAGCATGATTTTTCTGTGGTTTTTTGGGGTTTTTTTTTGACCCTCTTTGTCTCGTGCCAGTTTAGAAGTGAGAAAGAAACTGGTTTTAATCTTTTAAAAATGTTGTATTTCAGACAGAGTTCTTAATCAGTAGCACACAGTATGTCAGCACAGAGCAGTGTTTTTTTAGTATAGCATTTTGAAACATGTATTGCTAGGGGATTATTTCTTCACTTTGATTGGTTTAACCTCTCCATGAGTTTGCATGAGCATAATCTATGTGCATCTAATTTTAATTATTAAAGAAGCTGAGTACAGACTATCCTTATTGGAGTAAAGGACCAAGAAAGAGAGAATGCTTGTTCAGCATACGCTTCCCTGGCACGGGACAGGTTTCGTTTTGCTGGCATTCACCTCTGAGTGCAGTGCAGAAGAGAGAGAGAGATTTAGCTTCCAGGGTTCATTGCTGTGGTTTATGTCACCCACTGAATATAGAACAGAATTCTGCCAAGCAACACATGAATTCCTGTGTGAAAATAGATGCTGTGCTCTGCTCTCAGGCTAGCAGCTGCATGCTTTGATATATGGGCTTTAGCAGGGAGGCAGTCACATGACCTTGATATAAACTATCCAATTCCTTGTAAAAGTCCTCTAAATTTTCAGTGAGTGTCAGCAAATGAAGCCAAGCAGCTTTACTTCATGAAAAAAAAAAAAAAATCAGGAAACAATCTGTGATACATTTTGGTATGGATTAACCTAGTAACAGGCTTTCTGGTTTGTTTTTTAAGCTGCTGGTCTTTAAGAGTTTGTAGCAATCACTTGTTTGTACTCAAAACCGCTGTATTGCCTTTGAGTCTTTTGGAGTGGTGAATGCAGAGGTTATTGGCATTGCAGTTATAACTGCTCATGTATGACCAAGAATGTGCCATAGTGAGATGATAACATTAGTCTTTGTGCTGTGGCATCTAATGCTCGAGCTTTATCTGTACTGGGAATGGAATGGATAAAAGATTCTCACTTGGTAGACAGGGAGAATCCTGATTCTTTTCAATGACACTTTGAAGGAGAAAGCTTGCCCTGTTCTTCTCTTCAAAGAGATGCAGCAAGTATGAAAAGCCTGAGAAGACTGCTACTGTTTGTCTTAGAAATGAGTTGAATAATGAAATAATATGAGTAGAATAAATAACACTGTAACAGAATGCAAAATACTGAAACTTGATAGATAAAGGACTGGGTTTTTTTGGCTTGTAGATTCTTAATGAGTAAGAATTCATTCATGTACATGGATTGTGATATAGCATGCATGAATTTGTTGTTCCTTCTACTCCAAATATGTAATCCTTGGGTCTGCAAGGATTCTTGAGATAACTGCTGTTACACAGAGTGCAAGAAGTATACTGTATTAAGGGAGTGTAAAATCTCTATATAGTATGTTCTAAGGGCTATTCATCCAGTAATGCAAAATGAAGACCAGTAATAATCTGACAAGTCAGCTTTTTAGTCTTCTGCTAGTATTCTTAAAAATATCCACATATTACTTAGTTGTGTTTTTCCTTTAATATTCCTTTAATAGTTGCACATACAAATTGTCCATTATCAATATATGTTTTGGCTAGCTGTCTCCAGAGCATTTTTCTAGAGACAGCCATCTGGCTGAGGGTATGGTAATAAAGGGTAATGTATGTCTATGTAATGTGGTTAAGATTCAAGAAAAGAAATACTATGATGAAGGAATACCACGATAGTATTTTCTTCTACATATGAGACACTGGAAGAAAGGAACTGCTCATCTGACAGATACAAAGCATTGTGCAGCAGGTCACAAT